CACAGGCTGCCCTGAGTTTTGACTGAGGAAACCTAGGATAAAAATATAGTATCATAAATTTGTGTCAGTTCACAGCCCTATTGGGTTTATTGTTCTTATCTGCCATCAAGTTGACTTTGACGTATGGTGACCCTATAACTGAGAAACCTCCAAGTCACTCTATCATCAATAGTCTCACTAGGTCTTGAAAACTCAGGGCTGTGGCTTCCTTGGCTGAGTCTATCCATCTGCAAAACAGTCTTCCTATTTCCTATTGCCTTCCACTTTGCCAAGCATTATTGTCTTTTTTAGAGAATCTTGTCTACTCATTATATGTCCAAAGTATGACAGTCTCAGTTTAGTCATCTTGGCTTCTAGAGATAGCTAAAGCCTTTGTTCTGTTTGTGTGTGTGTGTATGTGTTCCTTCAAGTTGCCTGCTTCTTAATTGAATTAATCTGTCATCCTTTCATCTCTTTTAAATAGTTATTCAGTGTACTATTGCCATCAGCATTTTATTCCTTCTTGATCATTCAGTGTGTATCCGTTGGTCATAGAGCAACACAATCCTTGTTTTAAATTTCCCTGTGATTTCTAGAATCTTGTGGAAGAGGTCTTTTTTGTTTGGTCTTCTATTTCTCTGCACTGATTGTTATGGTAGTTTTTTTTGTCCCTACAAACAAGTCAGTTGAACAGTTGCATTCAGGGTTCTGACCCTATAAAGACAGTTTCCCATCGGTCCTTAATTGCTTTAAGAGTTTAATTTGTTATCCAATTAGGCTTTTGTTTCGTTTTGGCTGCAGATAGAATCTTTTTGCATTCTTCCCTAACAATTTCCATGATTTCAGTCCAGAGTTCTTCTGGATCCAAGTTAAATGTTCTTCAAGTTGTGTTTTGGCATGGTGGTTGGTTTAATGTTCTTCTTCAGCTTTATTCTATTTTTTGATGTTAGCAATTCCTGGTATGTGACACAATCTGCTCTATTTTGTTTTTGCACAGAGAATGGAGCTCTTCCATCTTCTGCTTCCAGTTATGTAGTCTATTTGATTTTTATATTGGCCATCAGATGATGTCCATGTCATCTCTTTAGTTGCCTGAAGAATGTGTTTGCAATGAACAAACTGTTGGCTCCACAAAATGCAGTCACTCTTCTGCTTCATTTCTTGATCCTAGGCCAAATTCCCTTACAGTCTTTGGTTCTGCTCTGTTTCCTACCTTTGCATTCCAATTGCCTATGATTACAATATGTCCTGTTTTATTGTGTGGCCTTTCTTGACTCCAGCATGGAATCTTTCAATTCCTTCCTCTACAATTAGATCATAAACATGGATTATGGTTATATTGATGGGTTTTCCCTGAAGTCTTTTCTTTATTATTCACTCAGACTCTGCATTATGTCCCTTGACTGCTTTTGCTACATCTCTCCTCACTATTAATGCCACCCCATTTCTTCTCAGATTTTTCTGGGTAAAACACTATGTAGCTTATAAAATACTATGTTTTTTCATAACATTTGGACAGCAAAGTTTATGAAAGTTCAATATCTCTAATATCTTTTAACATCAGTGAAAAGACAAGACCTGTAAGGGATGCAGAATTCCTACTTCTCATATTAGCATAATTTTTAAACTGAAATTTACATTTTTGTCTCAGTCTGAAGAGGGAGGGAGGGAGAGAGAGAAACACCATGTAGAAACAAGTCAACACATTAAATGATTTTAGTTATAGGATATTCTCACTTATTATTTCCTTCAGAGATTTACCTATAAGCATTCATAGATATCCATGGGATGGCCATATATATAGCATTATAATGCGTATATAGCATATTATCTGCTGCTTTTTTGTTTTGTTTACCAGTGTATGGTTAAATGGAAGAGAGATGAAAGGTGAAACCTAGCAGGGCTTTTTATCATTCAACCTTGTAAAAACAGAAAAAAACTGTTTTCATATCCCTGTTTCTTGTGTAAATAAAGGGCTGAAAATTGTCCAAAACTGGTAGCTGAAAGTGATGTTATGTTATCTCTCAGGTGCTGAAACATCTTGGGCCATCCTGTGAGGGGAGTGCATGAGGGGAAATGACCCCACTCTCTCTCCAGTTGTCCATCCTAAGGGGAAGCCTGTGAAACCTTTGAATAACCTCTGATTTTGGAACACTCTTGTCTGTATATCTCTTATTTTCTGAATGTAGAGAGATCTTGTAGCACCTTTGAGCCTAACTGAAATAAAGAAGTTGGCAGCATGAGCTTTCGTAGACTTCACTCTACTTCCTCAGATGCATTTGGTGGAGTGGAGGCCAGGCACAGACATATATATGTGAGGATGTCAATTCAAACTACAAATCCTTTGTGTATGGAAATGAAGTGGCAGGTCTAGTCTTAACAAAGGTTGATAGTGCACAAAGACATAGGAAACTAGTCTTTGTGCATGGGGTGAGCTGGCAGATCCAGGTTTGGAATGGGACTAGCCTGTGGTGAGAGGAATAGATGAATGTAGGGCACCCTATGAATATGGGGTCAGAAAGTATTGAAGTATGTGTAGTGAGTAAGGAACCCATTGTCTTTGTTCAATCCATTGCTGAGGGACTGTAGTTTGTGGATAAATTTCAATTCTGCTGTTTCTATTTCCAATCTACTGAGTTTATCACATGGCACTTTCAAGAATGGGAACTGAACAGAATGGAATGGCACAGAATAGGGCAAGAATACAAGTTACCGCACGTTCTCCTGTTAAAATTAAAGTTAATAGTTAAAGATTTCTCATATCTTGGACCAAACACTGATCAGAATGGAGACTGAAGTCAAAAGATAAGAGAAAAACTAGGAATGGGAAATGTATGAGCTTTTGTAGACTTCAGTCTATGAAAACCCATGCTGCCAACTTCTTCCTTTAGTTAGTCTCAAAGGTGTTACAAGATCTCTCTACATATTGATTCTACAGACTAACACGGCTTTATCTTTGAATTCTTATTTTCTGAGTAAACTGGCTGGAGACCTAAAATGTTGATCTTCTTGCCTATTGTTCTGTTGTTTAAGGAAGCCCTTCCCTAGGCAAAACCCTAAAAGACCCCAGAGAACAACCATCTTATCTCACTCACACGGCTTGAGCTCAGACTGCTTTTGTGACCATCAGAGGAGAATCCAGCATTGCGGAGCTTGTTCTACATGTATTAGACAATTATCTCTGTTTATTATTTTGAACCCTTGGTATGGTGAAGGCAAAGGATATTATTACCAGTCTTGCTTTTCCATACATCTGATGAAGTGGACTGCATTCAATAAAAGCTCATGCCAGACAAAACTTGTTGGTCTTTAAGGTGCCCAAAGACTTTTGTTTTGTTTTTCCAAACCTAACTTCTAACTTCCAAACCTAATCTATCAGGTCATCTAAATACTGTACTGATAAAACAGAATGCATCCTGATACAAGCAACCTAGGAATATTTATTCTTTTTCTTGTTCATATTTAGACCTGACAATATCTACACTGATATTCTTAATCTTCTTTACTATTGATAATTATCTTCCTCTGCTGCCAAGCTAAGTCATTCCTCTATGACCACATGAGCATACCCCAACAGGTCTCCTGTATGTCAACAGAGCTAATTTTCCACTCTTATACTATCCCATACCTTGCCACAGAATCAAAATGATTATTTTGGCATATGATTATTTTGGCAAAACAAAACAGATTTACAGTAACATTTTCCCTCATTCTCCACAAGAGGAATATGGGCAGGTATGAGCCAGTATGGTATAGTGCACTGGATGTTGGACTAAGACTTCACAGGTCCAGAGTCTGAATCCTTACTCAGCTATGGAAACTTGAGTGACCTTTGGCAAGTCACACTCTGAGTCTAAGAGGAAGACAATGGTAAAACTCTCTGAATAAATCTTGCCAAGAAAACCTAGAGTTGATAGGGTTAATGGAGTTGACCTGAAGGCATGCAACAACATCAACAAAACTTCTAATGATGTAAGAAGGGCCAAGCTAGATTAGAATAAAGGTACTCTCTTGATCATACTCCCTAGCAATAGATGTAAGAGGCAGATTGTCTCTGGCAGTGAAATTAATGAATCTTAATATCAATAAGTCTCAAAATGAGGCAGAGGAAGGTAGATTTGAGTCAGTGGATTACTGCACTACACTCTTATAGTGCTGTTATCCCACTTTTCCTGCTCTGTCTGCCTCCTGTGACATTCTGGGATTTGTCGTTTAGGGAGAGGAATTTAGAATTAGAATTAGAATTCAGCCAGACAGCTCTTAGGTCTCACTGAACTACAAACCCCAGAATGCTACAGGAGGCAGCCAGAGCAGTTAAAGTGGAATAGCTGCAGTACAGTAATCTCCAGTGTCCCACTATGTTCTGTTGATGAGATGCATAAAACTGTAATATTTAATTCTTGTTCAAAACAAGCATGAGATTTCCTCTGCTGATTCAATTTTCAGTGTATGTGTCTCCATGAGCCGCTATTCTATGAAATTTGTAAAAAGCCCACAAACACCTTTTTCATTTGTTGTAATATGGATACAGATTTCTGGGACCCAATATTGATTAATGTTGCCTTAAATTAGAGAACTAACAAGGTTGTGCCTGTTGTGTCCTGTGTTATTGTTTTAATTTTATGATGTTTAATACTGTTTTAAGGGGTGGGAGGGTTTTTTGGGATTATGCGGCAAACAAAATGGCGGCCGCTGCTCATTCGCGCATGCGCAGTACTCCTGCGTATGTGCAAATGAGTTGCGGCCGCCATTTTGGCATACAATGGCGGGGGGCGGTCAGTGGGGGGGTGGGCCGGGGGCGGCCCACGGGCTGTAGGTTTCCAACCCCTGTATTAGATGATCCATCAATTGTAATAATTTTTTAAATTTTACAAAAATGTGATAATTTCTGCTCTTGATTTTAATTACTGAAAATTATGTTTTATAGATAACTATAATAACTTCCTGTAAGAATATTTTTTGCATTGCATCAAGGTACAGTATATCAATTCTTTACTAGACAAACTAGAGTAGACACAAGGGGCAGTGTAATGTAATGGTTTGAGTGCTGGACTATGACTCTGGAGTCCTGGGTTCAAATCCCCTCCTGGCTATGGAAATCTACTCAGTTACCTCGGGCATGTCATACTTTCTTAGACGAAAGCAATGACAAACCTTTTCTGAAGAACTTTGGCCAATTAAACCCTGCAATAGGTTCACCTTAGAGTTGCCATAAGTCAGAGCTGACTTGAAGCAACACAACAACAGGAGACTTGCTTAACAAAGCAACAATTATATATGCTCCATTGATTGAATGGGTCTACTATAGCTGAAACTAACATTTGGGTAAATCCCTTTCTGTCAGACTGTTCATTGATGTAAGGTGGCTTGGAAATGTTTTCATAAGTAATTAATTAATGAGACTGTTAATTTATATTTTCTTAAAAAGTACCAACAAAATTCTGTCAAGATGTTTTTCTATTTTTCTACATTCTATATGCCTGTTTCCTAGTCTCTGTGTCCTGGTTTTCCACATCTCCCTTCTGAGTACTGTGCAAAGTGGTTGTAGCCACACAAAACTATTTACTACCGTGTTTTAGAGCAACATAACGGAGTCATTAAGAGGGACTTTGAGTTCTACATGATAGTCACCTTAAGCTTCGGAGAGACTCATAAACAGAGGCAACATTTTCTGGGTTTTTACATTTTTAAAAAATCATAATTGGTTGCAATCATTTACCAATCTGCTAAACTCTTGTGAGTGGGTATATGCCAGGGGAAGTGAGCCTGCCACACTAAATCTTAAACCAGCCCATCAAAGCTTGCAAACTGACTCATCAGATGCTTTCCATCAGCTTCTCCTTATCAAGACCCTTACCCTTGTTACCCTTACCCTTATCTTCCAATCTCTGGTTGGAAATAGCAGGGTCTTCTTGTTCCACTGTCAGCTTACACTTGCAACAGCCAGCTGAATCCCAGTTGGGGCTCAGCTGACCTATGGAGCCACAGTCTTCCAAATCTTCTGGAAAAGTGGAAAGCAAGCAATCTGGCTGGTTTTGAGGTAGCAGTCTCAGGGATCTTGGAAAAGGAAGACAAACCACCTGGCTACCTGTCAGAAGGCATTCTCAGGAGACTCCTGGAAGTGTTATCTGAAATACCTAATTTCATCTGTACCCTGGAAAAAAGATACAGAATAGACTCACAAAATTTTTAACAGGGACTAAGGTCCTTCAATTGCATTATGCTTTAATTTTGTCAATTTCACTGGCTCCATTGTTTCACAACCTTCATCGGCTTCACACATCCACCAAACAATGATACCTTTACTGGGCCAATCAAAATGCGCAATTCCATGTTGTGAGCTTTCGAAGCTGCACTAGCTTCTTCATCAGGCAAGGGGTTAAAAACCATACAGGAGAAAAAAATTGAAGATGTTAGTCAAAGGCCTGAATTTTGCTGTTGTTTGTTCTCGGTTCAGATGGCATGGAGGAGCATATCTTGCAGGCTGGCACCATCTCCTTCTGGCCATCTCCTTGGGTTGCTGGGAGATTCTCAAAGTCCAGGAAATTTGACATCCATTTGCAAAACAAAAAAAGATGCTTCTTTGCAATCCAACATGTCTCCATGCATTGTGAAACCACAGGCTTCTCAGTTCATTGTCAGACCTAGTTTAAAGATATCCCAGAAAATTACACTCCAGAACAGGGGTAGGCAACCTTTTTGAGCCGGGGGCCGGGTTGCTG